GGATGGAGCCACAATGGATGTTCAAAATTTTACATAGGAATGCAACTGTCCTTTTTCCAAAATTGAGAATTTCATTGCCCTGGTTAAGGATGGGGGGTGGGGGATGTGTTGAATCTGTAGTGAAAATGCAGTGTTTTTTCCTGAGCATCAAGGCCACAACAGAGTACAAAGATGTTATAGACAAAGGTATTTTATTAGATTTTGAAGTGTTCTTGTGCTGGGAAGGCCTCTATTATTTTGTAGTCTACAAAGAGAAGTTATTCCCCTTTGACATTTACCTCTTTTAATAGAGTTTTCCTGTGTTTCGAAGAATAGTGGAAAAACATTGTATGATTGGTACTTATTTTATTGGAAATGCCTGTTTTTGGTAGGCATGGCCAAAGGAAGGCCAATGAGAAGGCAGTATTTTGTGAGGCGTTGGGTCATTCTAAGCCAGTACTCCGCAGAACACACACGTTTTTGTTTATATCTATATTCAAATGAATACGTTTTATATATAATATTAACAACAATATTGTCATATATTTTGATTTTACTTTATTGTACATTTACATCTATGGTGTTAATGCATACCAAGTACTGCTCCAAATGCATGTCCGGCATTTTCCCTTGAGGCATTATTTACATAGTGACAGACACAGGTTTTCCATAGTTTCTCGTCTATGTTTTTTTCTTGGGCGGATTTTAATGTCTTTGATAGGGGTACAATGCATAGCATGTAACATATAGTTAACAAAAACATTGCAGTAGTTCATTGATCACATACACATTGATGTATACCTGTTTATTATGGATTGTTATAAAATAAATGCCAGCTGCTCCCACTAAGCTAGCCTGGCTTACAGCTTAAGTTTTGTATTATTTGAGGTGTAGTCTGTCAAATAATGAGTGAAGGTTATACTTATTTTTGTTAATCATATTATTTAAATGTTAATTGAATAAGAGAATAATAAAAATATATATTATTGCACTTCTTGGATATTTAATACATTCATGTATGGAGACATGTATCGGAGAAAGTGGCTTAATGGGAGATCTGTCAGTTTAAGGCCATTGTCAGTTACAGTAATGCTGGTATCCTTATAGACTTGAAAATAAATGTGAAATCCATGTTAGATATAAGGTTTAACTTAGAGACTTGTTCTTCCTACTTAGTCATAAGATTGACAGAGGAAGGAGCAGATTGATTTTGTAGCATGGTAGTACATGTATGGATATACACTGCACATAATGCATGCATTGTAAAAGTGGCCTTAATTGATAAGTTTATTTAACATAGGAAAAAGAGGTGTAATTTTCTTGAATTTTTATTTGACAAAAATAATAATTTTGGACATTTGTAGATCTTTCGCAGGAGCTCTTTTAGTGGTCTTCAGTAAAATTAAGCTATAAGTTTCTACAGTCCTTGTTGTGTCAGTCAATAATTCATTTACTCATACACTGTATTTCTGTGATATTGTATTGCTTATTTGTGGTCTAAATTTAAGTACCTTTGTGATTACTTAACAATCATACCCTAAGTACAAGTTTTTAGTCTTCTTTTGAATGTTTCCTTTTATGAAAATAGCCCATATAAGGATATTAACTTTGTGTTATGACTTGTCCTCTGCCTACTTCTGAACTCGACTTTAACCAGTAATTCGGGCTTCTAATTAAGTGACTCACTAGCAGCTGGGGAGAATTAGGTTGTTTGTTAAGCACTCATATTTTAATGACTGTAATTCTACAACTATATGTAATTAGGGAAAGTAGTTTCCTTCATTGTTAATGACATCTTCTTGTATGTGGCAATAATTATATTAATGTTTCTAGAAATGCTTTACATTCATAAAAATGTTTCCCAAGTGAGTGCTTTTTTCCCCCTCCATTCATTCATGTCTTGTTCTATTTTCGAAGTATTTTTGTCCTTTTCACTACTATTTTAAAGTTGTTTGATGTATATGCACAATATACTGTTCTGTCTATTTACTCTATTGCCAAATCAAATCTGAAGTGATAGGAATTGGAAAGAACAGATGATCTTTTAAAGAAACAGATACTTTTTAAATTTTTACCATCCCTTGCTTTCATTATGAAACTCTTCTGAATTGCCTCCAGCCCCATTTATCAATAAGACCTCCTTTGAGGGTTTGTGATAGACTGATGTAGCTGTATCTAGAGGAATAGTCATCATTAATCGTGTTCCTACAGGAAATGGAAAAAGCCAGACTCGTCAATGTTATTGATTTTAAGTTGTCATAACCGTACCAGGGGTATTTAGGTGGATTAATATCATGTAATGTCTGCAAAAGTCCGATTGAGTTTCAAATCAAATTGCAGGAGAAAGTTTACAGAATCTGGATGACTCATGCCATGTGAACCAATCAAAATTTGATGAAAGTACTTGTGTATTTTGATGTAGTTTTCCTGTCAGTCTTTTGATGTTTTCTATATTAAGTTTGTAATGAATATGTTTGTTCCTGGTTAATTGATCTAGGTCTTGCAATTAAGAACATGCCTCATGCAAAGATATGCCAAAGAATTTTCCATTATTTTATAATGGCTGCTTACTCAAGCCTGGGGCTGACTATATATATAGAAAGTTTTATGATCTGGGAACCTAGGCAGATAAAATGTTGCCAAATTAATGAACATGTTAATCAGTCCAACTGATAAAACAATTGAAAATCTGAATATTCACATACAAATAAAAAATTGGAAATGAAAGTACACTAAAGTTTTTATGACATGTTACTTAAACTGACTGAGCTGTTAAGATAAACCTTACACATACTCTTGTCGACCAAAATGGAATTGAGAAGTGTGGATTGTTTTTAAGTGGTTGTTTAATCTCATTTTTCCAGCAAGTAGAGATTCTGCTTTTGAAAAAACATAGAGTTTGCTTTGTATATATTAATTGGTTTTTGCGTGGTTTTGCAGGCCATCCAGATTTTGGGAGGTATGGGTTATGTGACGGACATGCCTGCCGAGAGACATTACCGTGACGCCCGTATCACAGAAATTTACGAGGGAACAAGTGAGATTCAGAGACTGGTGATAGCAGGAAGTCTCCTGAAGGAGTACCATTCTAGTTGACGAAACGGAAAGAGTAGAATCTGTGACCTTGACAATGCAAAAGACTAGAATTGTGATATGCTGTAAATAAACATTTCTCTTATCATACAGAGTATGTCTAAAGCACATACATTGTAATAAATCTGTAATTTAAATAATGTTGTATCAAAGGAAAATAAAGAAATATGTTTGAATTTCTATAACTATCATTGCATGTAGTAAATGATGGAGTTAAATTGTAAATTAGATTAAAGGTGAAGTAATGAATCAGTACAGAGCACGTGATCATAATTGTTCAAACACTAGTTGAAATCATTTGCTTAGTTTCAGCATGACCTATATTGATTCACAAGCACTTGACAATAATACCTGTTAAGAAGTTTCGTTTTAACCTTAAAGAGCTCCCGTAACCATATAAAATAAAATTTTAAGTGCTTGTAAATTAGAATGTCACAGATAACCATGGATTCTTGTATTAGACAACATTCTTTAAACAAGAAAAATAAACATCATAGAAGCTTTAAAATTTATTAGCATCATAAATGAAATACAACTTGTGCATAAAAACTGTGTCACAAGAGAAAGTGTGACACTGAAAAGAAATTAAAAGGCTAGAATTATAAAGAAACTATAGCAATATCTGTACTATTTTCCTGAACTGGATAATGCAACTGACATTAAGGCAATTAAAACAGGTTTTCTTTCAGATTAATAAATTTGTAAAGTTTTATGTAAAATAATGGTTGGAAAATGTATTGGTAAATTGCAAGCATCAGAATTTGAATTTGAACATTTGTTTTTATAATAAATATAACATTGTGTGAAGTGTACTATGAGTTACAATAACAGCTATTTAATTGGAAGTTCTTTATGATTTCATTGCACTGAAAGATTCAACAGCATCCATTCTGGGAACTCCCTAAAACTGTTATAGTACAAGTAAAACAGAATCTGATTATGACTAGGGTACTGAACACATAACAATTAACATGTCAAGGACACAATGCATCCTAAGACCTTCATGTTCCTCAGCTCAGATTCAGGAAATGACATCAAGAAAAAAATTCCAAGAAAGTTTGATAGATACTCTATCGATATTTGATAAATACATGTACTTATTATCTTAGAAGTCACTGGTTTCAAAAATTCGTTTTTCTTTTTTTACACATAAATATATTTTACTAAATGTAGTATATGTTTTAAAAATGAATAAATACATTACAAACTCTACTCTAACTAGATCGAGCCTATTACAGAAGCACTATTGCATGACAAATGACTGATGAGTATTATAGGAACTGATAAATCTTCATTCACTAATGAATCAGTGAATTTATAATACATAGTATAAAAAATAAATAAGGGGTTATGAGTATTATATAATGAAGCATCAAAACTCATGGTTCTAAGCTACCGAGCAATAGTCACTCTATTGTAAATCATATAGTGAGAATGTAACAATGGATTTCTTAGATCTGGGATCCAGATGATAGGGAGGGGGGTGGTACAACACTAGGGACCTATCTATTGGTGATAACTAATTTTAGATTAAGGTATACCAAGATACCTATGCATTTACAACGAAAGAGCTTAAGTGTCAGATGCATTTTTTTTGTTCACTTGTTAAGAAATTTTTAGAGGTAAAATATACTCAACTGAGCAAATACACCTTAGGGAGCCAGGGAAATTAATAAATTTATGAGATTTTTTTGTCAGAAGTAAAGAGGATGCTAATTGTATGTACACATCATGAAGAGAAGCATGATAATTATCATCTAATTATAATTTATTCATGTGCTTTGCATTATTCTGAGATGTGCACACTTTTTTGGCACTAATGCCAGACGTCTGTTTTTTATAAGCAGTGAATGTGAATTCTTGTTGCATCAGTACTAAATTAAGCTAAAAAAAAATTAAACAAATGAACACTGAACAAACTATTATGCTACTGAACCAAATTCTGGCATAAAAAGAACAGACACTTTTATACACTCACATATCACAGGGTTATCGTTACATGTAGAAACTCAAATAAATTAAACACATAAAACCTCATTACACTGACAGAAGGAATTTTACATGTAAAACATAACAATATGATACAATGATATAGCAAAAACAGATATTAAGGCATACGGAGACAAGAATCACAACCGTGATAGTTAGATCACATTGAGGTTCAACATTTACTGGCTGATAAACAGCCATTGATCACCTGGGCTTAAATAAAACACCTGATGTCTAAATACCATACAATATATACAAACTTCAATCTCATTTCTAATCTCATTTTAAATGTCTATCCTCCCCTTAGCATGCTCAAGGGTCCCCTAATATCAAATAAAATTGTGAGTAGAAGTTATTTAACTCTAACTTGCAATGTAATGCAAAATAACTTTTGTTGTTGTTCACTTTGATCTCTTTGTTGAGGTAAATACAAAGTGGCAAAAAAAAAATTCTACACAGGATATAATAATATGTATCCTTTTAAAAGACATGAAAAAATATATTGTATTATGCACCAATTCTTGTGTAGGATTTCATTTTGGATCATATGATATAATAATCACATTGCGTCCTGCAATGTATAACGTACAGTAATGCTTGCCATCAGCTTCATACAAATAAAAGCAAGCTAATGAAAATCACACACTAGACCTCATATTTCCAACAATATTGTATTTATTGCAGCTGTTTGATTATCAGTTTGGTCCAATAAGCTTAATTTAAGCTGAGGAACTAAAAGTATTCTTCATACTTCACTTTTTGATTGTATAGTTTAGGAATACAGGACAAATGATCACCTGGTATTACAGTGTTTGATTCCTTTGGTCAGACCATTCAAATAGTGATATAAAAACAGGTCATTAATGCCTAGAACATATACATAAATATATGGCATGTAATAATACAAGTATGGAAACTCCTGTAAAACTGGTGTGGCTTGATGAATTTCTCTTTGGTAACTGAGCAATCTTCTCGGGGGAGTTCTTGGAGTTAGGTTTACGTGAACTGTACCGATCCCCACATCCTAGGAAATCTTCAATAGGTTTGGGCCAGTTCACTTGTACTCTCATCTTCATGTCATAAAACTTGTACATTTTATCCCCTTTGAAGAAATAGGTGTTTTCTGTAATAGGAAAAGAATGGTTTTAAAACCAAAGACACCCTTAAAGGTAAAGAAAAGTGCATAGAGGATAAAGAATATGTTTCTTAAAAAAATGTAGTTTGTTATACTAGTAATATGCTACATTTAACAATGTTATTTGTTATCTGAATGTTAAAAATTGGTAATTTTTTTTATTGTGCATAGAACCTACCCAATTTTTGCATATTGAGCAGACATTTGATAAAAATGGTTAAAATAAATGTATGTTAAGGAAGAATAATAATCTGAACAAACCTTGGAATTTAAAAGCAGTATCAATTGGAATAGGAACATTTTTCCAGATGCTCATGTCGCGAGGGTAGTCCGGTTCTATTTGATTGTCCGACTCCTTGAATTTCCAGTACATATCTTTACTGACAAGGTAAATCCTTTTGTTGAAGCCCCACACAAACACTGCATCAATTTTCTGAATGTCTTCAGGGATTCCGAAGTCTGTGATTGGTTTACCATTAGTAGGGTGTCCATTGGCAAGACTGTTACCGTTGTATATCCAGTACCTCTTTCCTAAGGAATTCAAGTATTGAAACATTATTATACACAGCAGATATCGATATTTAAAATAATTCAGAACATTTCTTTGACTTACAACTTTTCCATAAAAAATTTACAAAAATACTGGAAAAACAAAACAATCAAGTAAAAACTCAAAAAAAAGATTTTTTCAATTTAACTTTTCACAAATGAGGGAATTATTTGGGGGGGGGGGGTGATAGTGTTTCCTAACGCTGGAATACAATGTATTTTAAAATACTTATAACAAGAATATCCCTTTACCTGAGAAGAAGAAGATTCTGCGGTCTGTTGGATGTTCAAAAGCTGCGTCAATCCTCTCCACGTCCTCTGGAAATCTGTACCAGAAGTCGTGAATAATGGAGGGTTCACTAGAGAGAATGGTTTTAGGTTCAAGACTCCTCCAGAAATACTGTCAAATAAAAATATTTAGATATTATGCATTCAAAATTCTGCTCAAGAACTTAAAAATGCTGAAAAAACAAGAGGTCAGTGCCCTTGAGTGGGTTACAACGCCCACCCAAAACAACGGTTCTTTCCATTCGATTTTATACACATACATATATATAGAAAAATACAACACCCTATAGTTCTAATTAATTAAACTTTTAAAAGTCAATAACGTCAACATTTTATTTTTAATTAAGACTTTTCAGTATGAATTGCTGTCATTTTGAATTTTCTTAAGGATATCTATAATTATTCCTTTATACATTTTGCCCACCTTTCCGATGAAAATGAAGACTTCAGAACGTATAACTGCTATGGCGTCAAAATTTCCCTTACATGGATCTATTGGGGCTTTACGGGGAGGAGCGAGGGTACTGTATCCTCCCCTTGTATCAGGCCGCCTGGTGGTGGGCGGGGGTCGAAAGGTCACGTAAGGTCCCTTACCACCTAAAAAAAAATCTGCTGTTTTACTTTCTTTCAAGAACTTCGTTAGAAAGATCGAGTTTGTAAAACTCTTCCAAAGAATATTTATTCGAACACTCCTTGATTGACTTCATTGAATGGCTTTTATAATAAGAAAGATCTTTCATTTGTATATTTTCTATGTGGATATACCATAAATAAGTTGTATTCCTAAGGTATCGTCGTATGGAAGTTGAAAGTTGGGAATGTATCCCTGATACCAAGGATACATCAGGGCTTTGGGCTCGTTGCTGTGGCTCAGTCCCAGAGCATGCCCAAACTCGTGAGCAGCTACCATAAACAAGTCCACACCTAAAAATAGCAACAGGAAAAATGAATACTTTAAAGATAATTATTTTCCTATTTTGTTGGGAAAGGATTTCCCTTTCCAGTCAGAAGATAAAAATTTTAAAATATTTCCTTTTCTAACAGAAGAAGTCATTAAAAATTTTCATTTCTTTTTTGAAAAACTAAAACAGTCATTCACCTTCCTCATTGGAATTGATCGTCCACTTTTCATCTTCATCGAAATGAGTATCACCCCCTTTGTCTTTTCCAGGAAAGAAAGCGTGAGCCAGGATGAGACCTGTAGAGTTAGGAGTAAATTGTAAGGTACTTGTACATAACGCACAGAATAAGATACCGCACAAAGAGCATGCGTAAATAAAATTGGGGGGGGGGGGGGGGGGTCCCTCAATTTTCTGAATTTTTAAAATTTGAATCGGAAAGACCGCCCCTCCCCTGAAAACACGACCTCCTATAAAATAGGTTTTTTGGGTTGGAAAAGTCGATCGTTTACTTTTCTTGCTCGTCAAAAAATTTCGGAGTTGGATTTTTGTTGCAATCTAAAACATTTTTTTTTCGCTGTATTTAAAGACATCCCAACACTGCTTACATAACTTTAACTATGTTTAAATTGCATTTTAATTTGTTTCGCCTGTGTTCTGGCAATATTCGCATTGTTTATGAGATATACGGATGATATATTTAGTTTCATGAAGAAGTGTATAGTAGTATTTTTCTCCTCAGTAGCTATATACACACGTACACTAATCACTGATTTACTATTGCTTTTGGCTCTAGGTTTGTTTTCATACAAAGAATAGATGGGCTAAAGTTCACGGTAAAAACCAATTTGCTGATAGTGTGTTTCAGCAATCTCAAAGCTGCTGCATGCACTCAGTGTGCGTGGATCCAAAGTATATGAAACGAACCTCAAAAGAACATCTGGTACGGCCAGCAACGTGTTGCTTTCTCTCTCGTTCTTTCACGTTCAGTTCCTCGTGAATTATTGACTGAGACGCCGCTATGGGTATAATCTTCCTGTCTTCAATCTGTTTAAGTCACTTTTATGTTTTCTTTTTGATTAGGTTTTGTCATACAACCCTGTAGTTTTGTTATGGATTGGGTGACACGTTTCTTTGTATGAAACAAATATCGTTCAAATTAACTAAACCGACCAATCCTTTTTGTCATAATTCTTTCATAGACAAAATGACCCATGTTATTTCAAAGCAAAAGATTTTTAAGGCAAGTAAAACAGCAAATTACTTCGTTATTGGAAGAAAAGTATGTCTATAATTCAATATGACGTTTGATTTTAGTTACCAAACCCCAAAGCAATTTCCTACAGAAAAAGGAATAAAATTTGCTAAATCTAATAAATAACAAACACAGTGAGATGTATTTTGTGCCTTATAGACTTCTGTCAATTACCTTTCCCATCAAATGGGTAACCATCTTTATGATATTTTCTGGCAAATTTTATCATGATATCTGCATCTGTATTCATAACTTCTGTAAATGTTAAGTCAGTGACGTCACTCCAAACTTTAAAGGCGTCTGCGATGACTCGCCGGACATCCTGCCACTGTAGATCTGGCGTGTAGTTCTCGATTCTAAAATTATTTAAAGACAAAACCCTTTATTTATAAATTTTCGACATCATTACTGCAAAAGATACTTCACGGTGTCTTAACATTTTAACTGCAACGAAACACGCTTTCCTCTTTAACCTTTGGTGTTTGAATTACCATTAGACAAATGTACCGTGTTCCGTACCATTGCAATTGGTTACAAAATGATTACACCAAACACAGATGTTGACATTATAGCCAGAGTCAGGTTCTCTCAGAAAGTGATTTATAGCCAAGAAATTTCAAACTTAACGAAGCAGGTAGAAGACCCCTCAGCACCTGGGCAGAATCCCATTAACGATGCCAAAGGTCAGCCTCTACCGGAAATAAAAGTTTGACAATGCATCTTGTGGTTAATTCCATGCGACACGAAACGTGCTTCTAAAAGTGTCACTTTACTAATTGTTACTGGGCGTGCTAGCTGGTGCAATCTCAGAGTTGTGGTTGCTTATCTTATATTTTTACTTTCTATCGTGTACGAAACAGACAGTCTGCTCCTATTTGCAAAGAACCAAAATGGTGATGTCAACTCGAATACAGAAAAACAGAAGTTTCTGTACCCCAAGGTCATTTACACCGATGACTGAATTTAGATCACCCGATTCTACAAAGACAAACCAGACAAGCCATTACAGGCAATAAAGCAACATGCAAAAGATATCCTCAAGTCTGTATGACTCAGAAATTACTATCAGAGAGTATTTCGATGTTTGCTGTAGATCGAACAGAATGATAAAAACGTGATTCCTACAGAATGTAATTTTCCCTCTTTTTCTGGTTTAAGGCAGGATATCAAACAATTATAAGCCAAAGGACTACCAAGACATTTAAGATAGAAACTAGAACTAAGGGATGATTATGTTTGGCGTACACCAATTTGTTCTCCGCGGCCCCTGGCAGCCTTTGGTTTTCCGACCGCGGACTCGTGGCGCCTCGTGATATCTGGGTGATGACAATACGCCGGCAGGACCTTACAGAACTTATCTTTGGTCGACTTTATAAATAAGAAATGCTTTCTTTTAATTACTAGCATCCGATGCAAATAAGGCTCCACTTTCGAAATGACTCAATGCTCATTATCTTTTATCTCGTACAAATGATACATTTTGATAGCATTAATATTTAACAAGTTGTTTTAGTTAATTGATTAGTTCCTATTAAAAAAAAATGTGTATAATTGTTGCATCTTTGATTGCAAGAATGAATCATTCTATACCAATAAAATCGTAAAACAAGGTCTGAGAAGTGTTTCCTTCAGCATTTCAAGAGCATTTTTTGAAAAAAGAAAAGAACAGCTATCGATAAGATATGGATAACATCCCCTCAATTATCAAGTAATTGAAACTAAAGTGTAACTCCGGATATTCTTAAATGAATCATCTTTATGAAATATTCGTCATATTTTTTTTGTAAAATACAATTTTTTCTCATTGACATCCGTCTTCGACCATGTACTTGACAATACTATGTTCATTGGTTTTTTTATTTTTTTTTTTATTTTTTTTTTTTTTTTGTAAAATAAAATACGAAGATAACACGAACAGTATTCAGCTCAAAATTCCATTGAAATAAATTGGGAGCAAAGCAAAGTGGGACCTCTAAATATTAAAGCTGGGATCAGGTGCCATGGAGGAGTATGCACCCCCTGTCGACAGGTCACATCCGCCCTGTGCTCCTTGTCATGATTTTCAAACGAAAAAATCCGAAGATATTTCATTGTGTAAAATAATGACACGACATTCAGTCTGCAAAACTTCAGTCATCAATCGACTTAATGATAGATTTGCTAATAAGTTCAATGTACCAAACAAATAACTTTCGAAATGTTGTCTTTGAACGAATTCATATCCTTTTTTTTCATCAACTTAATTGTCAACAACCTATTTACATGTAGTTTTAAAACTATTTCTTAAGTAAAGCATGCACTTGCGTACTTGGATCAGCTGGGAGACATAAACTCTACATACGAGTGAAAAGGCTATATTGCCACAAAATAAGGGGATCTAGCAAGGGAAAAGTTGAAATCATTACATTTATCATTTTTTTTTCAGTTTGATTTATGTACATGTATTCCAACCCTTAGGGTAGCGGGGTACAATGACATTATGCTTCAGATTTAGACTGTATCTGCAGCATGCATTTGCTATTGTTAAATACCAACTTAGTCGAAGTACAAATTAAAGCAACCCTTGTTGAAAAGACCGGTCATTCATACTAAAAAGAAGCAGACGTGCTCGAATAGTTTATCTCCAATATATGTAGATAACAATCTCTGACATTTGGAGAGAACAGAGAATTTGCGTTAAGAAGTAAAAATAGTTTGTTCAAGTGATATCTTACATTGGCTGAATTGGCAGGCTAATCACTGCAATGGGGAGATTATAATTTATAGAACATCATCTGATTCCTATGTCTATAAACATCTAAGTATACTCCATGTTTACTGAAACAAAATTTAAATTCCAGTTACGCATACCCTCTTGTAGAACGGATGCTGAGCTGAAAGGGGCCACTCTGACCGTTGTTAACATGATTTGCTTCACATAATTGTCCCCAATGTATGTTGTACACAAAATTGTTCTGTTGAGCTTTATTGTAATTGTATTGTATTTGTAAATTTACCGATAATCTAACGGTCGTCTGCCTTTTTCTGTTCAAATTTTGCCATTCGTAAACATTGTAAAATTCTTGTTGTTAAATCTCGTCTACTTGACAATCTGGCATAAGAATCTAACTGAAAGTTGAAATTCTTGTATATTTTGAATTAAAAGCATGAAAAGTACATAACCCTGATCGTGTTGTCAAGACAACGAGCTGACTGCATTGCAGTATTATTTTTTACCCTTGTGGTGAGGAACATGTGTTTGTCCTTAGGGAGCCAGTGAAATCGCACAAGTAGAACAGAAACCTGTCTGCGTTCAACATAAAATATTAAGGAAAAATGTACTTGGACAAATTGAGATTATAACTATAAAGCTTGTTTTAGTTGGTAGGTGAGGTGTGGGTGACTCACTGCTTCAGCGACTTGCATGAGAGTTCGTGGAGCGTGCATCTCTTAGATCTTGGCGGGGACAATAGAATCGTGATGCAGAGAATAGTTCAATGTAGAAATAACACAATAACCTATTAGCTATGACTCAATTTCTAGCTTCCAATCAACAAAATTTTCCAATAGTTATTAGAATACAGTCCGAAAGAAGAAAAAAGAAACTAATTTCATCGCTTCTCATCAGTGGATCGGCAGATTGATGAACCATATGCCCTCATTCATGCAGGTTGTGATGTCACATAACCACATAACAACCAGGCCGAACAAGGTCACGTGGCTCAACGTTCATGGTCATCACTAACCTGTTCGTGTAGCTCGAAAGAAAAACCTTAAAGATGGAGACGGAGCTCAGCTGAAAAATTCCTCTCGAAAATACTGGCCACTGCGCTACTTATCTTTGTATTTCGCACCCTATGTACCAGCTTACATTTATCTTGCAATCCAGTGCAAACTCTAATATGCAGAATAACTGTTGGTGAGATAAGACAGCCTGGGAGCTACTGTACACCAGCCAAACAAGATCAAACCCAAGCAGAGAAATGGCGCTTTTCTCACACTTATTACAGATGTCATATGATTTCGTGAGTAATGCTAGGTCTGGTTTCAACTTGAAGAAGTCCTTAAATTTAGAACACATGTCCGGTATTAAAAATGGGGGCAAATCAAGGGGGAGATTTCAATATGCTAAAAATTCTTCGTTTTTGCAGTAGCACACTGAGAATTATATAAAATCTGCTGATCTAGATACGAAAATTCCTTTATTGTGGGTGTGCCATAGAAATGGTAATGCATGGTGTTTTTCTCTTTTTAACAACATTTCATAATTTGGCCCCATCCCGTGATTCTTAATCCGAACACATGCACGTAACCACTTTTGCTGCATATTTTAGCAAATTCAAAGTTGTTGACACACATACTTTGTTTAACATAAGGACCACCACTTTGTAATTAGCTCTGCAAAACAAGATTGTAACCCTTTCGACTTTCGTTACTCCTTTAAACTGATAACTTCTATAACTTACCTGTAAGTTAGATCCTTATGGTCCCATTTAGAAGGGGCCAGTACATATCTCTTTTTCCGGGCCCCTTCTTCTTCCACTGGGTCCTTGTTACCACACCTCGGCTTGTGCATGAGCTCCTGAGTTCGAACATCGAGCACGCCGGTTGGCGGGATCCCACCCATTCTTTGTAATTTCTTTATGGACTCCGTGATGTCCATTGAAATGAGGTTCTGAGCCCCCTTCTCCGCTTGAGCTGATGATATGTAACCAAACTTTCCAAGGTATCTCTAAAAAGAGTTAACATTGACATGTAATAATATTTCACAAAAATTTTTTTTAAATGTTTTATTTGAATTTTATTTTATTGATGAATTCTCGATTAAGGCGACAATGAAGTTTCAATAATGTGGTTTGCTAACTGACGTGAGAAAACATAAAAACAAACAGCATTTCTTTCTGGTGGGTGCTGTACGTTTGAATTCGAAATCAAGTGAGTATATGAAAAATCTGGCAGGCAAACAAAATGTCAAGGGTTTTTAATGCTTGTGGGAATCTTTCTTTAAAACAAACTAGATAACTATTTAGATGAGGCATAGCCACTTACTACTGTATCTTCATCAAGTCTCAAATTTTGCTTTATGCTATTCTTTTCATATTATTTTTGAATGCCCGAAACTCTTGATTTACATATCTAAATTACTTGATATTAGCAGACCTACATGCGAAATTAAACCCATAAAGTACATGTAATTCATAGTCAAACTACGACCTTTATTTATAATGTTAAAAGTGCACTTATTTAAAGACCAGTCAATTAAACAATAAGTCCTGGGGACAAAATGCTCCGTTCTTATCATTCTTGTTTGATCTATCTACAGTGACATTCATGTTATTAACTCACTGCTGTACCCTCACTGAGCTAAGTTACAGCAAATTCTAATATATTTTTTTCAATCTTCTAATTAAGTGTTTCATTTTAAAGTCATCACAACTGCAGTAGTCCCATTAATGATCTCATTTATCAATAAAAATGATTAGGCCTATAATATCAATATAATAAATATAATTATGATAATAAAAATATGTAGTTACATGTATTCTAAAAAAAATCTAAACACATTTTTTAGTAGAGCCAGCATGGATCTGAAAATAGAGGTAAAGGATGAGATGCCATGGAGGAGTGTGCATTCCCTGTCGACCTGACTTACCCGTCACTTGATCCTGTGTATGAAGAGGTAAATTTTAAAATATAATGGCCTAAACTTTGTTTGAGAGAAGTCAGTCAACATTCGACAATGGCAGTTTTTATTTGCATTGTATCCATCATTGAATTTACCAAATGTTGATTCAAGTCTAGATTGTTTATAACCTTGTATTGTCAGCTTATTTGTCAAAAGCTTGTCTCATTTTAGAAACTGATTGAAAGTAGAACATTCACTTTTATGTATTGAATCAACTTGGAACCCACGAAAATTCCACCAGATCATTGGAAGATATCTCCTCCAAAAACTACAAACATGTTATCAATGAGAAACTCCAGCATCTTCTTAATATCATTCTAGGAGTACTTCTGAATAGAATCAGTTTAACAAAATAAGCTTTTATCTATAGACATGATAGATGACCTATAAGAAGGTATGTAAATTAACGAATTTCATTTTTATTGAAAAGGCAGCTGTTTATATGATGCAAAGTCTAAGCCTTTATCATGGGGAATGGTTGTATATTAAAAGTGATGAAGATTCGTAGGTTTGTTAAAATTTTGCAATATCAATTTTTCTTCATGTTCTTAATGTTTGGGATGTTTTCACGTATTCACATCTGATTAACACTATTTCTCGATCATGTTGTTATACATTACTCCTGAACATGCCGAAGTTTCTCCTTCGAATTCACTGTTAATATTTTTGTGAGGAGCAGAAAGATTGAGGCTCGATAGAACATTAACTAGAAACAGTTATATACCTGTTTTTAAGGATTGCTATGAAGTTTAGGGATCTAGTAAAAGTATCAGTTCAATTTGGTTGCTAGGAATATATAAATATCATCTCCTTAGAAAGAGAAACTATAAGTTGTATTATATGATGGGTTACCATTTGTCGAAGCCCCTGTAATGATGAACCTTACTAAAAAGATAATGTTCCTAACTGTTCTTATCTATTTGTACTTTGTCAGCTGGGATAGACTGTCAGTTGGGACATTTTCAGACGCCATGCTGATTTTAATCAACAGAACAATACCCGTAATCGTATTTAGTATTGGTACCTCTATTTAATGCTGCATATTTCTTAAACACGACGTATTGATGAAAAATATCAGCTGTTTTCTCTGTCAATCACAAAACGATGAGTATACGATGTTTCACCATCAAAAGGTTTATGTGATAGTGATGTCTATACTGCTAAGCTAACCATCACGACTTATTTATTGTGACCCATCATTTCTTCTCTTTGACTCAGAATCATCATCTTATCAACAAATAATTAAGTGAATGCCAGCTGACATGTGCAAGTTGAACACGTCGGTATATGTCACACATTGTGAAGCAATTACAATATCTAATAATTTGCACTGCATGATCGTAGGGCTTTGGTCATTTCATTCTATAAAATCGATAGACAGAAGCATTCACCAAAGGTCATTTATGAGGAAATATTTAGGTGTGATGTTGCAATTGTTTTGCACAAATTAATGTTCAAGATAAGAAAACTTTCCCTACCCAGGAAAACTCAGCAAATAACTCAAGCTGCATTTTTATACAAGACCTGACATAAAGTAACAAGAATCTTGCAGTAAGATGACTGTACAAAGTATAAATATGACTGCATGCAGTCGGTCTGTCATCTGTAGATTTTATCTATGACATAATCTGTTTTACACACATAGCCATGTGTTCTGAAGATAGTGATTAACATCTTACACTGAGTGTCAAACAAGGAAGATGCCACAACAAAAGCACTTGTAATTCCATCTCATCGCATCCTCTTTTGGAATAAGAGGGGATTTCTATTTTTTCCTTAAAAATTACGAGTTAATCTTGAATGGCGAGGAAGAAATTGTAACTAGTTTTAATAAATTTAGATTAGTTTAACTTGCTATACATGTCTTTACTGTAATAAGTACGTCGTTTATAGCCCCCTCTCCCCCCTTTGAGCTTCGACATGTTCCTCAAGACACGTTTGAATTATATCTTTTCAAACCTACATGGTTTACATGCAAAGTAAAACGTTTCATTTCAGTTCAACTGTTTGTTGTTAATAAAAACCATTGAACCGTATAAAATAAATACGTATATGATAAGTAAACATGGTCAGTACACCTACATACAGAAATCCTGAATGGAAGGGAGATTTAATGATTCACACCGTACATATATCAAGGTTAAATCATGTTAATAGCGAGCACCTCTCGTCTGCTATAAGAAACAAAACAGACGATATATGAATTACTTACAAAAGCATCTGCATCTAGATTAGACGCTCCTGAAACTGGCAATCCTATAACTGAATCTGTAACTAAGAACACTATGTATATCACAAATATTAATGAAGTCTTCATTGTTTTAAGTGAAGGTCCATTATTAGAGGCTATATTCCTCCTTTCTCCCGCTCCGTCCACGCCTGTGTAGTGCCCACAATAACACACTCCAGGGATCTGCTTGTACATTTCTCGTTCAGCCTCCATGTGTATTACGGCACATTCACTGTTTCATAAATTAACCGTATATTAAATATGGCTCCGTTATGTTGGCATCAATTGTTTTATCGTCTATTATTGTCTCTGGTTGTCAGTCTTCCACTCAGAAGAAACCAACCCCAATAATAACCAGCACTCTGTCTTCTGAAGCCAGCCGTTAGTCTAATTTATCATTCGCCGAGCATCTGGTCCAATTACATTTTGATTTCTTTTATTAGAAAAAAAAAGAATCGCCGTATATTTCAGGTCAAGTGTTACTGATTCACACAAAAAACGACTTAAATAACCTCACCGTTTCCTGCACACCGTGGGGCGCACCTTGCTTGAACCCTCAGATTACCTAATCTAATCCCTCGAGCATAAATTACCGAGTCCGCTATATAACGAAGATAAGGTCTAAGTCTTAAGACAAAAGTCGCAAGATTATTCACACCTCTTAATAAACAACTAATTAATTCATATTTACAATGAAGACATCTAGTGATGCTTCATCCTTCCTCCGGAGATGATCATCCTCTACAAATGTAAACAAAGAAACTGCTTATACGTATATCCTTTACGCTTTGGTTAATCGGACAAAAACTGTTCCGGGTTTCTGTAAACATCTTTTCATCACAAGAGCAATAGATTTGATCCACTGGCCAGTTTTTGTATGTTGCTGGACTATCCTCAATATACACAGAAAGTATCCTAATATAATCAATATCCAGGCTTATTTGATATAGTTCCTCTGCATCAGAGTTGAGCGATTCCCTTGCTAGAGGTTATGTTTCCAGACAAATGCCTTGTCTGTCAATGTTTTCAAAGAGCGTGGAAGATCATGATGAGTCACGGGGTTCTGAGGAGAATGGTGGGTAATTTTGGAGATGCTACTGTCAGCACGTGGTTTTGATTAGCACTTGTACTGAGGGAATATATTTCCCGAACATCTTTGTTTCACATGCTACTCCTCATTCATCAGAAACATATGGTCGATACAGACGCGTTTGATCGAATGGTTCAATCATAATATCGATTCACAAATCCCGGAGGAACAAAAAATCAAATGAATCCACTGAACCGTGGTGGGGGTTATTAAAATATCCAACAAAGTCCCGGAATCGCCCCGGTATATCTTGACTGATATTAAACGTTGTAAGATGGAAACGAGATAAAGACAATGTTGCATGTACTGTAACCAGCCTGATTAATATGGAAATTACGTTGATTGGATTTTGCATCGATATCGCTTGCACGGTGCACAACTTGATTCATTTTGGGCCTTCACTTAACATGCTTCATATAAAAACTAACATCAACAAAAACCTTTAAAATATAATAGTATGAAAAGATTAGAAGATAAATATGACAGCCAACAGCTGTCAATATCGTTAATTTAATGTGTCTATTATAGCAATCAATATTATTAAACATTGCTTTTTTTCTTTTAATGTATGATTCATGATAATACATGTATATACATTAAATTTGCCATGGAATCAATATTTGATAAAGAGCCGAATCGATATAGCATTCATAATCAGGTGCGTCGTCGTCGCCCTCAAACTACAAAAGAATAATTTAATACGATACAGCTAAGTTGTTATGTGGTGTTTAGAGGCAAAGAATGAAACAAAATATGAGAGAACAGCAATAACGCACGATTTAAGAATTTCTAGCGCGAGAGAAATACAATACAACAATCCCCCGGAATCGTATATGGGTGGGGATTTCGCGCAGGTATAACAAGAGAATAAACCGCATCGCAACCGCAAACCTTTCGGACCAAAATTAGGTTATCATGCAATCAGTTATCTAGGAGGACGATATATCAATAAAGAATATAATCTGTAATCCACACGACAGATTATCTGAGAGTAGATATAAGGTGATATCAGTTGTATTTTGTCTATACGTGAGGGTCTTTTAGAATTATTCGAAATCGAAAGTGCACACAAAAAATATATGTATGTAAAAATAGAATATTTGATTTATTTTTAAAAATGGCACTATATTATATGTAAAAGTGGTTTCCATTCATTATTAACCTTAGAGATTTAATTTATTAAAAGTGCAAGTAGACCTGCCCTATATAATTTGAAATCACTTTACCGGAAATGGTAAGGAATCAAAGACAATCTTGTGTTTTTTTGTGTCTTCCTTAAAGACTTAAGATCGTACCAGCCGCGGTCATTGACTCACTGATGTCAAAACTGCCCATTAAAATACGATTGTAATTCATTCATTTCAAATCCTTAGTGCCCCTAAAAGCTGTTTCCGCACTTGAAGTCTTTCTTAAGGTTTTAAGATAAGTATATACATTAATTAAAAGTCATATAAGCAAAGTACACTTTAAAGTGTCATTCTACGGTCGACAGTTGACCCGTCACACCCACTATTGTATGGGGGTACCTGTTATGATCGCAATAAGAAAACTCTGGGTTTGGTGTGGTTTTCCAAAGACAAAGAAATTGACCACTTTGCTAGTCTAGGTAAATATTTACAGGACGCTAGTAATCCATGTATGGACCAAGTCAACAGGAAAGCGAAGTATTGGACACGTCATTAAAGGAGAGCCACTTAGTCAGGAATTACAAGGTTTGCTTTGATGGGATAAATCAATGAACGGCTAATGAAGCTCCACTTATGGTGTTGTATTCGTCAATTTTTCACAGTAACTGCGTTTGCTGATAGCATTGCTTCGACAATCCTCGCACTTTCCGTTACAATTACATGCTTTAGTACCTATTACACTGCCAAGCAAAATGAAACTTTGAGTAATGTCTTTTATTGCCTTATTATTCCTATATATTTGGTCTTTCTTTTTTCATTTTCCCCCAAATTACGTTTTTTTTTCTGCCTATTTATTTAGCTATTGCTATCACATTTCATCAAATCAAACACTACATATTTCGTTTACTTAAAGCATTATTAGAAATTCACACATAACAATTAAAAGATATCAATTTAATAATAAGGGAAGAAATAATTAATAAAAATAATTAAAAGAAAAAAGATTGACATGAGAAAAACAAAGAAGAATTCACGATAATCAAAATAATAATGAAAAAGTGACCAAACAAAAAAAAATATTTTTAATAATCGCGAAAATGCTGAGTAAAACCAAAACAATCTGTGATTAAGGTTTAAAATATTTTTAATAATCTGCTCCACGACCGTTGAAGGTTTTTACAATGGTTTATCGGTGACATGTGACCATTGAAGGTTTTTACAATGCATGGCTCTGTAACTCGGTGACATGTGACCATTGAAGGTTTTTACAATGCATGGCTCTGTAACTCCGTGACATGTGACCATTGAAGGTTTTTACAATGCATGGCTCTGTAACTCGGTGACATGTGACCATTGAAGGTTTTTACAATGCATGGCTCTGTAACTCGGTGACATGTACATATGACCATTGGAGGTTTTTACAATGCATAGCTCTGTAACTCTCTGACATGTGACCATTGAAAGTTTTTACAATGCATGGCTCTGTACATATGACTTGAAGGTTTTTACTCTGGCTCTGCACATGTGACCATTGAAGGTTTTTACAATGCATGGCTCTGTAACTCCGTGACATGTGACCATTGAAGGTTTTTACAATGCATGGCTCTGTAACTCCACGACATGTGACCATTGAAGGTTTTTACAATGCATGGCTCTGTAACTCGGTGACATGTACATATGACCATTGGAGGTTTTTACAATGCATAGCTCTGTAACTCTGTGACATATGACCATTGAAAGTTTTTACAATGCATGGCGTTGTAACTCTGTGACATATGACCATTGAAGGTTTTTACAATGCATGGCTCTGCAACTCGGTGACATGTGACCATTGAAGGTTTTTACAATGCATGGCTCTGTAACTCCGTGACATGTGACCATTGAAGGTTTTTACAATGCATTGCTCTGTAACTCTCTGACATGTGAGCATTGAAGGTTTTTACAATGCATGGCTCTGTAACTCTCTGACATGTGAGCATTGAAGGTTTTTACAATGCATGGCTCTGTAACTCTCTGACATGTGAGCATTGAAGGTTTTTACAATGCATTGCTCTGTAACTCTCTGACATGTGAGCATTGAAGGTTTTTACAATGCATGGCTCTGTAACTCCGTGACATGTGACCATTGAAGGTTTTTACAATGCATGGCTCTGTAACTTGGTGACATGTACATATGACCATTGAAGGTTTTTACAATGCATGGCTCTGTAACTCGGTGACATATGACCATTGAAGGTTTTTACAATGCATGGCTCTGTAACTCTGTGACATTTCACCATTGAAGGTTTTTACAATGCATGGCTCTCTAACTCCGCGGCATGTACATATGACCATTGAAGGTTTTTACAATGCTTGGCTCTGTAACTCCACGACATGTGACCATTGAAGGTTTTTACAATGCTTGGCTCTGTAACTCTGTGACATATGACCATTGAAGGTTTTTGCAATGCTTGGCTCTATAACTCCACGACATGTGACCATTGAAGGTTTTTACAATGCATGGCTCTGTAACTCGGTGACATGTGACCATTGAAGGTTTTTACAATGCATTATCTGTAACATATGAAATTTTTACAATGCATGGCTGTAACTGGATATTGAAGGTTTTTATTTTATTAATGACCATTGAAGGTTTTTACAATGCATGGCTCTGTAAGAGTGACCATTGAAGGTTTTTACAGTGCATGGCTCTGTACACCTGACATGTGACATTTTTACAATGCATTTTGTTGTACATATGACCATTGAAGGTTTTTACAATGCTTGGCTCTGTAACTCTGTGATATGTGACCATTGAAGGTTTTTACAATGCATGGCTCTGTAATTAAATGTCCATTGAAGGTTTTTACAATGCATGGCAACAAAGCATTGAAGGTTTTTACAATGCAACTCCACGACATGTGACCATTGAAGGTTTTTACAATGCGGCCATAACTCCACCATGTGACCATTGAAGGTTTTTACTGCTTGGCTCTGTAACTCTGTGACATATGACCATTGAAGGTTTTTACAATGCTTGGCGCTCCGGCCATTGAAGGTTTTTACAATCTTGGCTAGACAAATTTTTACAATGCATGGCTCTGTAACTCGATGACGTGACCATTGAAGGTTTTTACAATGCATGGCGTTGTAACTCTGTGACATATGACCATTGAAGGTTTTTGCAATGCATTCTGGCTCTTGAAGGTTTTTACAATGCTTGGCTCTGTAACTCGGTGACATGTGACCATTGAAGGTTTTTACAATGCATGGCTCTGTAACTCGGTGACATGTGACCATTGAAGGTTTTTACAATGCATGGCTCTGTAACTCGGTGACATGTACATATGACCATTGAAGGTTTTTACAATGCATGGCTCTGTAACTCTGTGACATATGACCATTGAAGGTTTTTACAATGCATGGCTCTGTAACTCGGTGACATGTGACCATATTTTTACAATGCATCTTGATTATGTGAATATATATATATATATATATATATATATATATATATATATATATATATATATATATATATATATATATATATATATATATATATATATATATACACCTTTACATTTCAACATTTTGTTGTTTGACCCCAACACAAGGACACTAAATCAGATAATTAAATGCCAGTCATACAACAAAGCATTACGGTACAATCACACGACTTCATTAACGACGGCCAGATACCGGCCGTGAACTTTCCTCGGACGAACATTGCGCTCCGGCCATTCGTTATCTTTAGACAAATTGTTCTAGCACCCACTCAGGATGAATGTCCCTCGGGTCAAGTGAGGCTTGAGCGATGTAATACCATTATTGTAAAAGCGTAAGAGACGAGAAATCTGGGTTCTTCACTGAAGTTTGCCGCCGAAATATTTTCATATCTTGATTGTAATATATATAGTTCGTCTTTTTATTCACCATAAAGATAATAGATAAACATGTATATAATTGGTTATTTTGACTGAATCAATATTGCTGCTTTCGTATATTTTTCTGGCTTTTACATCGAACGATTAAATTAAAATATTAAAATATGTAATTTTAATTTTTTTAAAAATTATATATATTTATACTCTCAAAAATATCGAAATATTATCCTGCCATCATAGTGTATTGCATG